CTGCTTCCTGGGCAACTTTGCTCAGCAGATGCTATCTTGATGCTACACTATATTGATCCAGTTGTGAAACTCAACAGTTCTTTAATCTTCCCTGCATGAATCCCTAGAGTTCAGTTATGTAAAGGATTTGTGAGAGATGAAGAATAGACGGAAACCTAACAACAGATATAACCATCAGCCCTCTCGGTCATTACCACTGCCTAATCCCGCCCACCTCCACCCATCAACACACTCTGGAGAATTTCAGTGGCTCCTCATCTCATCCCCAGCTATATCCGCCTTTCTGACTCCTCCCTGCTCCTCCATTTCATCCCCTTCCTTTCCCTTCCCTCTTTCATTCTCTCTCTTCCTGCTAGTAAAAAGCACAGAACATTCTTTATCTTATGAAGAGAAACTTCGCTTTGAAAGCCTTCATATGAGCAACTGGATCCTGGGTGGGTGGAGGAGATGAATTTAAAAAGTGGCAATGGTGGGAATGTTTACTTTCTACCTGAATAATTCTTCTAAATAAAGACAGTCTTCCTAAAGTGTTTCCACTTTTCTACTCATATTTATTCTATTAAATTATAAATTCCTCTACGCAACCAAAAACTCCTGTGGACTGTGTCATTGATCTTTGATCTCCCCTCCCCTGTCCTCTGTCTCCAACACCTGATGGGATCATATTAGGAATTAATTTGTAACTGCTTTCAGAAATTAATGGGACAAAACTGAGTTCTTACCTTGATGATTATGATACTACTCCTAGCTGGAAAAAATTTTCTTCTCCATTGTTCTGCCTTTTCCAATTCTAGCTCCCTGCTCTTCTGCTCTCATCTCTTCTTTGAAGCTTTACCCTACTATTTTGTCTACACTGATCTCCCTCTCTCTTTTTTTTTTCTTTTGGTGAACTCCTAAGATTCTTTTTTGTTTTTCTTTGCTTACTCTAAAACACACCATATTTTTATCTCATAAGCAGAGGAGATGAATGGGTAGGACATGACTGTAAATTAAATACTTACGCAATGAACTGTAGGGGTATATAAAAATCAACTGACATAATTATAAATACTAAACAGAATTCAAGATAACATTTCCTCAGAGGGAAGTGTTCTTTACAATTTACTTCTCATGTTCTGTAGTAACGGGTGATTTATATGAGTCATGTTACATTTTATTGGCATCTGTTTATGCCTTAGTTCTAGTGACTTTGCTAGCTACAGAAAAATGTGATACAGCAAACAGTTTTCACAATAAATGTAGAAAAATCCTATTTAGTGAATATTCATAAAATAAATAATTATTCTTTCCCCAAAAGTATTCAATACTGACTTACTAATTTTGTTAGAATAAAACAGCTGTAGCACCATATTGCAATGATTTCTTTTCTTTTTTTTACCAAGCTTTAAATTTCTTTTGATAGTGTAAGCTGAATTTTCCAGCCATTAGAAAAGCCTAGGGTCAATTGCCTTTAAATCACTTAAATAATTCTAATGAGGGCAAATCTTTTAGTGAAACTACTCCCTCCATTTCCACTAATTTTGCTACTTTTCTATTTTTCTTTTGTCTGAAATATGTGACTATGAAATGAATTAGATCATAGTTTAGTTGCTAATGGACTTGTTAGGATACTTGTATTATATATTTTTAAATGTCTTGAATATATATGCCTTCTGGGGCTCTGTTTCCTTAAATTCACTCTCGTACCACACGCACTAGTTCCCGGAATGTCAATATGATGCTCCCAAAGGGAGACAGAGTTTGCATGAGACTCAGTGCTGAAAGTCCACTTCTTTATCCTCATCAAGTAGTTATTACTCTGGGCCTACTGCTGCCCACGTAGGGCTTTGTATTAGGGAAGCTCTGGGGAGATATAGCTATAAGCTATGGTTCCTGCTCTATAGAGCACGAAAAAGTAAAATGCTGATTTGCAGTTCAGATAAAAAGTGGTGCAGGAGTTCCAAGGAGGAAGTAATCATGTAGTTTTAATGGGGGGGGGGGGCATTGAATGGTCCTCAATGGCAGAATCTAGATGAGGAGAGCAGGAGAGAGACACATCTTGGGAGGAAAAAGAGGTTCACAGACAACCTGGAATAAGCATGCTGTGGTCAAGGGCCAAGCAACAAGCCCTCTGGTCTGGGGCAGGGCTAGAGCATAGGAGACACGAGAGAAAACACAGTGAGGGCCAGACCATGGAGGGCACTGAGGGAGCGTGCCTGGAGTGTGGACTTTATTCTTGGGCAATGAGGAGTCACTGACAATATTTTTGGCTGAAAAGTGACATGTACAACACAGCATTTCAGATTGAAAGTTTACAAGGGTGAGCTGCGTAGGGTGTATGGGGCAAAGGGACGTCTGGAGGCAGAAGGCTCCATAGGAGATTATTTTACAACAGTATAGAGGAGAGTCAGGACTAGATTGGTGGCAGAGAAACTGAAGGAAGGATTGGGCCAGAAGAGACAGAACAAAAGATAAATCAGTAGGCCTGGCTGCCTGACTCAGTGTTGGGGGAGAGAGAAAAGGAGTTAGGAGATCCACTTTTTGGGCTCATTTTTGACGACTCCTTGTATTAGACATCTATTATAATTTGGCTTTTTTTTTTTTTTTTTCCTGAGGAAGATTCACCCTGAACTAACATCTGTGCCAATCTTCCTCTATTTTGTACGTAGGTTGCCACCACAGCATGGCCGCTGATGAGTGGTGTAGGTCCACACCTGGAAACCAAACCCAAACTGCTGAAGTGGAGCATGCCAAACTTAACCACTGGGCCACCGGGTTGGCCCCTTAATTTGGCTTTTGAGGTCCAGCCTCTCCCCTCTTTTCTTTGGGACTGCCTCACCCTGTCAGTTCACAAATGAGCACAGGACAATCCAGTCCCTTCAGTTCCCTCCCCAGGAATCTGGAATTAGGCCTGCCTGACAGCTGCAGAGTGGTCTCCCTCTGAGGGGTTGACTATTGTCATTTCCTTCCATTTGAACTGGGATGCTGAAAAAGCTGCTTTGCAGTAAGAGAGACAACAAAAGCAGAAGTGAGGGGAAAAAAAAGAAGATAAGAGATGGAGAATAAAAGCTGGGTCAGGGTTCCCTGTCACATTTTAGTCTTTGCTTTCATGAGTCCCTAAAGTGCAACTGCATCGCTCTTCTTTAATTCTGTAGGACATCTTTATAATGCAGTAATACATCCCCCCTTTGATTAAGCTCACTTGGCAAGGATTAAGCTCACTTAGCAAGCCTTCATTGGACCCAAAATGGTCCAAACTGATATATTCCTCAGCACGAACTCTCCACCTTCAGTCAATTGGTGCTCTGGCTACTCTTAACACTTCAGTACTTTACTGACTCCACATTTTCATGCCATTTCCTTCATCTAGAATGTCTTTCCCTTCCCAATCCTGCTGACTCCGCCTGTATAAATCCTGACTATCATTCCTTTCTTCCACTTCTCTTTATTAAGTACTTTTTGGGTGAGTCCATAATATCTATAATGTAATGTTACATTTTCCCACTTCGAGTCTCTGATTTTAGAAAACTTATTGAAAGAATAACTAAAACTACATAAAGGGGGTAGAAGATGATATATGGTAGTAAGAAATCTGGAAATTTATGCTGTCACATATACAAATTTAAACAAATTCAAAAGACAATGGTCTACTTGGCTGTTAATACCTTTGACTCTAAGGTGGGTTCAAAGAGGTACCAGTAGGTCAGTTGGCCAAAGCAGACATTTTACATAAGAAAGTATATTAGTTAGGAGTATTAGATGAAAGAAGATAAAAATAGCCTTTAAACAAGTAGTGCAAGATACATTATTGGATATGTGCTATAAATTCAATTTTATAAATATCCAGATGAGGTCTTACAGCAAATAACAGACAGATACGAAACCCGCCAATGCTTTCTTACTCAAAGTCCAGGGCTTTCTCCACTGTGCTAAACTATCACACAGGTAATATAAAGAAATACATCAACCTTTAGGTGAGACAGAAAATTCAATTTTATGTAAGTTTTTAAAACAATAATGTATTGTCAATCTTCATCCATTAAAATAGTAATATACTCTAGGAACCATCTTGAACCTAATAACCTGAGCTATAATATATGCCAAAAAAACCAGACTGTTATTCTCTTGTAAGACATTATAAAATCTCTTATAAAGGCCTCTTTTGCCTCTAGAAATGAGAAAACCAATCTGCTATCCTGTGAAATCTCACATCAATTCAGAACACAATGGAGTTGACTTCCCCTTCAGCAACCACACGTAGCCTTTGTTCGGGTGACTTATAATGGCTCGGGAGGGGAAAATCCAAAATTACCTTATGAAAGCAAGAATAAAATGTCTAGCAAATGGATGGACATTTAATGAGCAAGATAAAGTGCCAAGAAATAGTTAATGTCTCTTTCTGTTCCATTCAAAGGAAGACTCCTAAGACCCCAAAGCATTGACGCCAGAAGATTACATGAGTAGTTCTGGTTAGTGCAATGCTATTGTACAAACAGTCTGTTGCTAAGCAGGGCAGAAATATTGTTTACATGAAAATGGAATGATCTCTGGTGAATACTGAAAGAAAGTGATAATTTCCATAACCAGAAAAGGCATTTTTACATCATTCCATTTCAACTGCTATAAAACCCTGAGTTGCTTTGGCAATTGCTTATCCTTGCTTTGCTGGCTTTATATCCTGCTCATCTCTACAGCGTTCCATTTACTAAATGATAGGGTTTTTGTTGTTTTGTTTTTTTCCCTGAAGGCTTGGCAGAAAACTTCACCACGGTGTATGGTTTCTAGGGGCCCACCTTGCAATGTTCGTATAACGAATTTTTGGTGCCCCTCTCATAAAAGCCCACTTGGCTTATCCTTCCAGTAAAACTGCTGAAAATATGACCAGAGAAGGTCCCATTAATAGCAACTGTAAACCATGCACTGCTCTAGCTTTATGAAGCCTTTCACTGTATAGTGTTGCTTATACTGAGAACAAAGCATAGAGCTGCTTCAGTGAAGGAGGGAGACACAAAGACACTTACCTGCATTACAATAAGGAGGTCAAAGACCAAGATGAAAGAAGCCAGGAATGCTCTGGAAACTTCATCACTGGGCAAAAATCCCCGATTCAGCTTGTCCCAACTGATCCAGTCAGTTGTAATGACAAGCACAACCACAGAAGTCAGAGTAAAAAGAACTGTCCTGCAACAAACAAGACATTCATTAAAGAGCATTAGATATAATAATATAGACAATGGGGAATGCATGTTATCTGTGCTGTATTAAACGTCTACTCCTTGCCCAGTACCTACCCTAAGGCATAGTCACCAAAAGGAAGATGAAAACAGAAGTAAATTAAGTGCTTTCTTTCAAAAGTAATTAGATAAAGGTATGATAGCATCTCTTCCAAGATTTTCCCTAAAGAACATTAAGATAATAATTATAGAACAAATAATTAACAATAAAAATTACAAATGACCTTAGTTAGTGCAATATGTATAGTCAAAGAGAACATTGGTGTGTAGCTTTCATTACATGGACATCTTTTACTGAGGGTAGGGCTCATACATATGTAAGAGCAGAGGCAGGTGGGGAATGGGTGAGGAAGTCCTTGGATTCCATTATCATCCTACAAAAGAGAGGTATAGTCAGACTGGTCCCCACAGCCTGATGAGCTCCACAGAGGAACCATCTCTACATGCCAACAGTGCTCATAAGACTCATGTCATAGATGACTTGTGGCCTAGTGACTTGTCTAGATCATACCATACCTCATCACTCATTCTTTGTTATAAGATACTAGGGGCCTGAGATTTTCTCCTACATATATATATATATATATATTTTTTTTTTTTTTAGATTTTTTATCTTTTCTTTTTTCTCCCCAAAGCCCCCCGGTACATAGTTGTATATTCTTCGTTGTGGGTCCTTCTAGTTGTGGCATGTGAGACGCTGCCTCAGCGTGGTCTGATGAGCAGTGCCATGTCCGCGCCCAGGATTCGAACCAACGAAACACTGGGCCGCCTGCAGTGGAGTGCGCGAACTTAACCACTCGGCCACGGGGCCAGCCCCTTCTCTTATATATTTTTATAGCTCCCATAAAATCTTGCATAATTATATGCAGATGGAATTCAATGAATGTTTGTTGAAATTTTAACAATTACATTTAAGTTTTTATAAAAATAAAAAAAATTACTTAAATTAGTCTATGGTATTGACATTCACAGTAAATTTAAATTGTGAGCAGTGAAAATTTACTCTGCTGCAGAATTGTTTATAATATAGTTAAACCTCTGCTTTCAGAGCGATATTGGTATCTGGATATCATTTTGAATTGTAAAAAGGAAAATAAAAAAGAACAATTATTTTGAAAATAATTTTAATCTGAAGGAAGAAATAAAGAAAAAGGAAATAAAAAAGAAAAGAAAAATGGAAGAAAAAATATAGAGGTGAAATAATACCTTAGAAGAACACACATCCATTTTGGCAATTACCAAACTGTTTTTGCCCTCTACTGTCTTATAATTGATAGTCAAAAAAGAATAATATGAACCATTCTAGAATTCTCTTTTCAATTGAACAAAGTACAAATTTCTAAACCCAAATTTTGGGTTTCCTTTTTACAACTTCTTATTTGGAACAAGTTATACTTTGATATATTGAATATAATGAACCCCTCCTCAGATTTTTCCTTCTCCGAGTAGAAAAGGTAAATAATTATTTTTCAATTTTTGAAAATAAAAATTTCTAATAAAACTCATTTATTTTATTAAAATTGCAAACTCTCAAAAGAATCTGACTTATGATCTCCAAAATATATATTACAGATTGTTTCTGCTACCTTTTAGAATACCTTTGATGATTTCCAGAAATTCAAATGGATTAAATGAGTATGGGAGAAATCCCAAATAATTATTAAAATTCAATAGAAAGAAATAGCAAATACTATGTAGTCAAACATAAGAATAATGGGATTTTAAAATACATTTTTCTCTAGGTTAAGTCAACTTATTTGTGGTTTTGTCTTTTTGAGTTTGAGAAACTCTAAGCAAATTTGAAGGAAATTACCACAATTTCTTTTGTCAGCAAGGAATATAATAACTTCCATGAAAGACAGATAAATATTGACTATTCTTCAAAGCTCCTTTTGGTAATAAAGGTATTTCCTCATCACTCTTGGCTTTTCAAATGTGAGCCTCACAAGGATGCTATGAATACATCCACTTCCTTCAGCACGGTTGAAGAGGTTGGTAAATAGTTGGGGCCCCAGTTCCCTCAAGCTCCCCATTCTTTGCTTCACCAGCCTTCTTCACAAAGCACCCACCCACCGCCACCCCCGCTCCTCCCCACCCCCCCCGCCCCCCACCACCAGCTGCCCTGTTATCCAGCACTACAGTGTGAAGCCTGGTGAAACAAGGGTACTCCAGCACCTCACTCCAGCTCTAAGGCCAGCATGCACTCTGTTGGTCAGAGCCTGTGGTTAACAGGTTAGTGTTTTTAATATCACTCCAGTATTTTCCCTAAGAGATGCCTAGGACTTCCTTTTGTTAGGACAGTTAATAACTTAGGAATTCATACTTGAATGTTACTTCATTGGTCTAAATATGTAAACTGATACTATAAAATTAAATACTCAGAGGCATATTTTAGGTGTCAAAACCTGGGAGTTCGAAATAAGTGTCTGCTGAGCAATCAGAAACCTCATCTATTACAAGATTTATAAAGGAGTTATTCTTATTCATGCTAATAGTCTCATTGCGAATAGCGTCATTAAAATTAATCATTAAAACTTTTTGGTAACTGGAATTTGTCGTAATACCTGTTGTGTGAGAGCTGCCTAAGACCAAATCTGCCCCAATTCGCCTTTTGGATGTTTGCTTTATTTGACATATTTTTTTATTATTTCATAGGTGTTTCCTGGCTTTATTAAGTACTTGTGTTTTGACAGAATACTGCTACAGATCTCAAGAAAAAGTTACTGGTAATATTTCATCACTCCAAAGGGAAATTAAAGGAGGTCTTCTGACTGATATTTAATATTTAATACTACAAAAAGAATAAAAATGGCAATCATTAAATATAAATGTATACAGCTCAGAGAGAGTGAGCCCTAAAAATAGTATCAAGAGAATGGAAAAAAGGAAAGGAAAAGAAGGATCAAAATACATTAATTGGTCATTTCACCTCCTTTTTTATATTCAGTGCCTTATCTAGATATAGCTGCAGAAGCAAATGTATAGCATATGGTTTGTTTTTCTGAGCCACTTCTTGTAAAATTAGATAGACTTTACCACGCTATGGTAATTCAGTCAAAACACCAGTTTAAAAGAGTGATGACTCAATTAGGTTATACAAAACGTCACTTTTATGTGAAACTGCTATGAAGAAAACAGTAATAATAGCAAACTACTATTACAGTTATATGTTACTTATTATGTGCCAGGCACTGGTACAAGCGTTTTATACAAATTGACTCGTATAGTCTTTACTACAACCCTAATATCATCATCACCAATTTACAAGTGCAGAAACTGAGTCACAGAAAGTTCAAATAACCTGACCTGAGTTACAGACTTTATAAGTTATATAAAATATAAGATACATGTGATATAAGATGATTCAAACCCAGGTTGACTCATGACTACCTGTGTCATAACCATTATACATATTGCCTCTTATACGAAGCATTTGAATATTACCTTCCTGTTACCATGTTTGTAGCTAGGATGTTGATTTTCCTTTTTCATTGTAAGTATCACATTGGAAAATTATCATCCATAAGTATTTAGCATTGAAAAGTAAAACTGACAGAGACTGACAAGGACTGACGGGAAACAGTTAAAAGGAATATTTTCATGGCAGTGAAAAATGGAACCTCGTGGATGCTGGCTATCGATACAGTATCCTTGGGTTTTTATTTAACCAACATGGTTGAAAAGATGTTTACTCTGGAGCATGATTCTTGGGGAGTTCCAGCTTCTCTTTTTAAGTAGCATCCAATTAAACAATTATCTAAATTATTTCCTTTCAGGCTGCAGCCAGAACCAGCAGGACATACTGGCTCATCAATTCCATGGTCTCTGGTTTCTGGCCACCAGTCAAATGGAAAGAACTCATACATAATTACCAGCTTGAGTGGTTAGACTCACTTTCATGCTTTGAAATTTACAATTTGTTTGCTTTTCCTCACTTCTTGCTAGCTCCTCTTAGATTAATAGGAACTGGAACGTAAGACCAAGAAGGGTTAACAAAGCTTTTTTAATCCCTTGGTCCCCAACATCTGGGGTGGGCTCCTAGGAACCACAGAGTTGTTGCTACGAAAGTGTGAATTTATATGTGCCCTATGAGTTGTCGGTGAAGTGAACAAATAAAATGCTTCCAGGGCGTTAGACTTGTTCGTGTCACAGACTGCCAGTGACAGAACCACCATGAGAATTTAGATCCACTGACTCTGAGCAAGGACTCACCCTGTAGTAAATCACTTTCTCTCTTCAGCTAAAAATCTGCAGATAGACTCAAAAATTTCATATCATCTTGATCTCATCTGGAAACATACTGATTCCATAGCCTCCTCAAATATTTATTATATATGGTGGTCAGAGACAGATTAAGGCATGTAAGCAAATCCAGATAATTCCTAAAACATGGTTCATTTCATAGTCTTAACTATTCCTTCATCCTAACTTCTAGATTTTTAAAAAATACTCAACCTGCATTTTAAGTAACTAAATTAGTTAATATTGTTTTCTCTCTTCCATTCATAACCACTTTAATATAGACTTACTGCACGTCAAATAGCCTAAAAGCAGGGGTTAAATCAAGAGAGAGAAGAATCGGCATTAGGTTCTATGGGCTAACTCACTGAGGGTTAACTACGACGTAATTTCCTTTAGATTAAACCAGGTAGCAGGAATGTATAGAATACTATAAGTTGAGCCAAGCAAAACTGCCAAAATTTGGCGACATTTTATCTTACTAAAAATAGCAATTTCCTGTGATTCAACATAATAAATATGCTTTTATGTGTTTTAATATATTAGTTATTATTCATGCTCTAAAATGTTTATAATCTTTGACTCCAGTCATGAATATTATATTCCTTTCCGATCACATTTCAAAATTATTGTAACATCTAAAAGGAAACAAAAATCACTTTTATTTCTTCCTATAATACTTGTGTTAAAATGTTGGAATTCAATCAA